TAACGCTTATGTAAAGGAAGAGACATTTTTTTAACGTAGAAGTTTATTGATGATCTACGACGTATGTAGATTATATAAAAGGCATCATGATCAGCGTTTGTAATGTTCTTTGTTTTCGGAAAATTTCATAACATTACACATGATTTTTAGAAAGTTATGGGGGGTCAGTTACTTATGAAATTGACTGTAAAGATGCAAATTCAAAAAATCCGTTATTGTTTTTCGAGACATATAATAATAGATATTCAAATTTCTCCACGGAAACCAATAGAAATTCCTCAATTAATGATCGACATATGTTACCCTAATTAGTTAGTCGATTGAATCGATTGAATCGTTGAAGCGAATCTAATTAGTTAGTCTCGTTGATTTATTAATTCCAATAGAAATTCCTCAATTAATGATCGACATACACACCCCTACAGTATATTACCGGTAATATACTGTGTGTATGTTACCCTAATTAGTTAGTCGATTGAATCGATTGAATCGATTGAATCGTTGAAGCGAATCTAATTAGTTAGTCATATACATGTAAATTGTCGTATTATTGTTCTCCTTTCGTATTTAGCAAAATATAATACCGATACATGTATATAAACAACATGTCAAACAGCAACCACGATAAACGAAAAATAAAATGAAAAATCCAACTGTCTCTGTTATCATGGCTGCACATACCGTCGACTATCTCAGTCACGCTTATATCTGGACAGAAATCGACATAGTATACGCTTACGTCGAAGTCAAAAAAGAATTAGCAGCATTCCGATCAAAGTGTCGGGAGAAACATGAGAAACCCTTAAAGAAATTGCAACTTGAGGAATGGTTAAAAGAGAAACGTTTATTACGACAAGAAAATTCTCTCTGGCGTCGTATGGGCGTTGTAAAAAGTGGAAGATTGGTTGCTCTACGAGCTTTGAATTGTAATTTGCTTTGATTCGTCGGTATTTATTGATGATATCAGCGAGCGAGAGAGCGAGTTTAAATTTTTCAGTTTTGACGCTATTTTTAGCACACATTCCCTTTTTTTACTCTTATTATTCAATACATACTTTCGTATCGTCCACATTAGCTATCGAAAACACCGTGAAAAGCTTCCTTTACACAAAATCCTCTAAGAATTAATTATTTGCAATACAACTCTTCACGTTTCAAACAACCAGCATTTTTTGAATATATATTAACCTACTCGAACACGGTCTTTTTTCTTCTTTCTTCACTATATTGATATCGTCAATATATTATTCAATTAGTATATTAGTCAAAGACACAAACATCTTATGGTATAAATCTAACACACCTCTTTTTCCCCTTTACTTTTCTATTTGAAGTCACACTTTTTTGTGTTACTGAGTGTGGAGGTATATACGAAATTCGCGTTTATAGAATAAGAAAAACAGATAATTAATAAATACAGATGTTATGGCAGGAACGGAGGAGTGTCTTAATGTATAATTTTTAAGTAAAGGCAAATTATCACCCGCAGAATTTTGTTAATTTTCTATTTTCATTGAAGCTGATTTCAAGCCAAGCAGCTTCTAATAAAAATTTCTATTCCAAAAAATCTCTGCTCCTAAAGTCATGTATGTATTAAATTACGTTTCTTTTTTTAGTTTTGATTTATAATTAGTTTAATACATGCAATTATTTCTTTTTTCTATGATGTCCAAAAAAACGAAAAGTAAATAACATCAATAGTGAGTCTGGAAAAGATGATGATTTCGAGGAATCTAGTAGCTCTTTTAGTAGAACTGAAAGCAATATTAGTTCATATGTGATTCCAGTTCTCTTCACGCGAGACTTCTTGGGTGTGGAAATTCTTTTTCAAAGAATATAATAACAAAAATGAAATCTCACACTTTGTTTGCTCTAGATGCAAAATACGTTATAAATTAGCAATGCAAGTTTGACATTTGTCATGAAAAAGAAATTTGGTTTGCTCCGGGTATAATAAGGAATTGCATCTCCTGATATTTACTCCGCAAAATACGGTAATTATCGTTGATTTTCTTATTGAGAAATTATTCACGGTGTATGAATCAATATCGTAAAATCAATTATTCGGCAACCAGCCTCGTAAATACACACAACCTTTACACGCATACACTCATAATCATATCATATAAATAATCACACCTATGCTTGGAACCATCTAATATTAAGCTTACAGAATAAGCACACCCTTTATAAGCACATTTTTTTTAAAGAAGTATGATGTGTGATTATATAGGAGTATGACCGTGTTTGATTTTTTTCGTAAAATTAGAAAACTCAGAGCGCGAAAGTATTGTTCGATGTCGATATGTATATTTGTTTATTGTTTGCTGGGATTCGAAACCGTAAATTTTTGGTCAAGAGAAAATTAATTTAACTTGCATATATTAAACAATTTAGCCACGCGTTTTTTCAGTTTTCCTCTTCTAGTCACCGTCTTGCAGTACGAAAGAACGAAAAGACTCGTACGGTTGATATTGGAGATTAAAAAAACTTTGTGCGGCGTAAGAACATTCCGTATGTTTGAATTTCTGCTCTGCAGCGACAACTACAACAATAGATTATTGCAAGCACACTAATTAATCATGGACGCCACCCTTTTTATGCCATTGCTCGTTGCCATTACTATAATTTACGGCGTCTTACACTCGTATCAAGAACTCAATAACATAAACGATAAAACCATTCAAACTGTGTTGCGGCATGTGGAAGAGAGAGCTGAAATGAAGAGCTGTGGCTTTTCATGGCAAAGTACCACGTCGAACACCAGTAAACTAGGAAGTGGAGATGTGTTGAATGGTTCCTCCTACTTTCTTGCTAATTGGCGATCAGGCTCAAATAGAAAAATAATTCGTTTTATATATGGTGTGAACACTCGTTCTCTTTGGTTACTAAAATTAAAATCCGGTTTGCATCACAAAATAGCAGCGACTCGAACAAGTTATAACGGGAATCACCTGGCACAAAGTTAAAAACTATTGTTTCTTTCATTTGCTATGTTGTCTCCACCAACTGCAATTTCAAGCAACGTATTTTCTCGGACCACGACATTCAGCCCCAAAAGCATCTCATCTTCATAACTGGTTTCTTTATTTCCACGCTCTTTAGTCACATCCCACAAATCAAATCTATTCTCACGCGAAATTGTAGACAATTTGAGTTAATATAAGAATTTGTAGCGTAATGTGCGATCATCATATTGAATACCAAAATCAGATACAATGGCAATGTTAATTCTAAGTTTTATTTATGATATACAGTACTAAGAAAGTCTTGTGGATCTAGTTATTATGAATGTTATTTTTAGACTTTTGTCTTCGAGCACTTCATTTTCATTTCTGCAGTATTACGTTCTTCTAGAAGAATGTCTTGATGCTGTATACCCTTAGACTTTCTATCAGTAGACTTGGTGTTTGCTTTTTATTATGTTGTTCTTGGAACACTTTATTATCGAAGATTTTCGGTCTTCAGGATCTCCGGTTTTGCTTCCTGCCTTTTTTCTTTTTTTTACTCTTCTTGTTCGACTGATTTATTGAGCTGCTACTGTTACTACTCGCAAGATTATTACTATTACTACTACTATTATTATTACTATTACTATTATCATTATTTTCTTGTTCCTGTTTATTTTCGTTAGACTTTTGTTTCTCCTTATTATTTATGTCATCATTATTAGTTTTGTTATTGTCGTCGACCTTCTCATTATCTACTTCAACTTTTGGAATGGTATTCGAAAATTTCTTGAACTTTGCCACAAAAAATCCATCCACATTGTGCATGTGAGGGTAAAACCGTTTGGTTAGATTCATCGAGGAATGGAATATTTTGCCGCAAAATCTGTATATGAAAAATTTTTGTTAATTAAGAGGTAGTTCGAGGAAACACAAAGATTGAAGTGGTTAAACTAAAATTCATAATCATAGTAATACTTCGTGAATCCCTCAACGCCAAAATCTATTTCTGTGGGAACTAGTTTGACATTAGGCCGTTTGTTTAGCGCATAATTGACAACTGCTTCATTCTCCTCGACAGTCACAGAGCATGTCGAATATACAATATAGCCACCAGTTGATGATTTAGCGTCGACGGAGTCAATAGCAGATATTATTAATTGGCTTTGCAACTGAGAAAGCTGCATGAAATCTTTATCCGTCTATGAAAAGGTCAAAAGAATCAAAACCTATATCTCTTGTAAAAAAGAGATGAGAAATAGAAACAAAAAGAGCACAGATTTACCTTAATTTTAACCAAAGCATCTTTAGATATAATGCCAGTCCCACTACACGGAGCATCCAACAACACGCGATCAAAGCCATTCATCACCTTAGGATATTCACGTCCATCAAAATTCGAAACAACTGTATTCTTAACACCCATTCGATGTATATTTGCCGTAAGAGCTTTCGTTCGTTCCTTATTGGTGTCATTGGAAAATATCTGGCCAGTATTGTTCATTAACGCAGCAATGTAGGTGGACTTTCCGCCTGGCGCGGCTGCCATGTCGAGGATTTTTTCGTTTTTTTGTGGTGCTAAGGCCATCACTGATAAAAGTGAGGCAGCGGATTGTATCATGTAGTCACCAGCTAGATATTCGGGCGTTGCTCCTATTTATAAAACAGGTTATGCACGAAATATTATAATTGTACTCATCAGTAATTAATTCAAAGGTCATTTTGATTTTTTGAATAATTGGTTCCGTAGAAAAAGTAAACTTACCAAGAGGTTTATCGGATGAGAAAATGGTCAACCCGACCTTGGACCATTGTTCAATTGGTTCCAATGTGACGCCTTGATCAATTAATTTCTAAAAAAATAAAATATCCACAAGTAATTAGCTTTTTATTTATTGCGTACCTCATTATAAAACTACATGTATTTTTAACTGACCTGCGCTAAATCTCTTCTTTGCGTGCGCAAAGTATTTGTACGAATGGTGACAGGTCGTGGAACTTCATTAGCTTCGAAAAAGTCCAATGCCTTTATTTAATATTCATAAAGAATAAATGATGTGATACAGAAAACAGTTCATCCGAAGCGAACACTAATAGTGACCTCAGACACCGGAAACAGATGAAATAGCTTTTCGGCCAAGAATTCTGAGTATCCGTAATAAGTTGCAATGTCCTTGACGAGCCTATCTACATACTCTGTTCTTTCTCTAATTTTTTTTTAATTAATTGCAGATGAATAATAATAGACTAAACTAGGAGAATCACAATTTATTGATTACCTATCCTGATTTCCCAACTCTTTAAAATCATCGAGAACTCTCACAGCGTCCGCAATTCGTTGTTGAACAATTTGTAAATCTGGTGCGATCATTTGCTCTTTTTTTATTTCAGGGTTACTAGGGAACACGTACTTTCCCTCTTCCAAGGTGTTTGTTAATAGCTCATCATATCCTTCAGAATTCTTAAACCTATCATCATCAATATTTATAAGTTGTGTTAATGTTTCTTCATTTTCTAGTGTATATTCGTCAGTTTCAATTTTCTTCGCCTTTTCCTTAGATTTAGAGGGCTTTACAGGTGGACTAGAAGTGTCTTCACGGATATTATTATTATTATTTGCCGATACAGATTCAGAAACTTCAGTATTATTAGTATTTGTCGAATCTCCCAAATTTTTAGACGTTTCAGATCTATTATTACTTGTCGCGTCGTTTGTAGATTTAGATGCCGCTAATTTATTATTTTTTATCATGGATGAAGCGGAGTTAGATTCCTTAGTGACATCCAAAGTTTTTGATGTCTCAGATCCAATATCTTCCGAGAATTTAGATACTGGTTGTTTATTAACATTTTTCGCGCCTCTTGAAAGTTTAGCAGCTTCAACATGTTTCTTATTACTATTTTTCACACTTCCTAAAGCTTCTGAATCCCCGCTTGTTTCAGCAACGTTGGTCGCGGTTGAAGTTGGAGAACTTTGAACTTTTTTATTATCTGGTTTTGATAAAGATTTTGTGTCTCTTTCTCGAGTCTTGTTCTTTTCTTTTGTCTTATCATTATTAAACGACGCTTCTTTAGACGAACTTAACACCGGTTTTGGAAGCTTATTCTTTGGAATCAAAAAGTCTTCCGCCTTTATACGAAATGGCGAATCATATTCGTCCAAAGAAATATCAAGTGGATCAAGGTAATCACCTACTAACGCTTGAAGTTTTTTCTCACGAAGCTTCTTGTCGCTGTTGTAATTGTTACCATTTTTAGCGGTGTCTCGACTTTTTTTAGAGGATTCACCTATTGAAAGATTATTCTGCTTTGATTTATTGTTGTTTGATTGGGTATTCTTGTTTGACTTTTTGCCTTTTTTATGCGGCATTCTTATTTCGTGAGAAATAATTATGAGCAATACAGACTACACAAAATGTGAGAAATTGAACTCTTTTATTTTCAATTGAGGAAATGAATTGCTCATTTCATAGGACGCTTATCATGTGATTTTAAAATTCCAGAGCTGATAGAGTAATTATAAAAAGATTTTTTTATTATGTTTATATATAAATAAAAAGCAAAATAAAATGACTATAGAGTAAACATGTTACTTTACTTAAATTGCCAATTTTTGACATAATTCGATTTTTTTTGAGCTTTTAAGCAAAATTAATTGATGTAAAATTTTACAAAAAATATAATTATTTTGATAAAAAATGAGTAATTTTATTTAAACCATTAATTTAAACTATCAATTTGAACCAGTTTTAATAAATTGAGATCATATTTTTTATAAAATTATTAATATTATTAAAAATTTTATAAAAATAGTTAGCAATTTTACTTAAATTACTGTAAATAATATAAATTACAAAATATTATAAAAATAAACAAATAATTTATTAAGTTATTATTTTATAACTTTAATTAATATTTTATAATTATAATTTGAACTTTTATAATACATATTTTTTTAATTAATTCAAAAAATAAATAAGTATATAAAAATTTATATAAAATATTATTTATAAATATAATAATTAACAAAATTATAAAAGTATATATGCAATTTTATTAATAAAATATGATAAAAAATTGAAATTTTTCTTATATAAAGTTTTTAATTTTCTTAATAAATATTTTTATTTTTATATCAAAATAAAAATTATAAATTATATTTTAATATATATATTTTTTGAATTTTTTGAATTTAATTTGACAAAGTTATTTTAACCGCAAATTTATTGCAAAAATTTTTTATAATTAAAATATAAAATTAATTATAAAAAATTTTTATAATAACTTTGCAATTAGAATAACTTTGTTAGAAAATATATGTTAAAATATAATTTATAATCTTTATTTTAATATAAAATAAAAATAAAATTGTAAACTTTTATATAAGATAAAAATTTTAATTTTTATTATATTTTATTAACAAAATTATAATAACTTTCTTTATAATATATTTTATTATAATAAATTTATATTATAATAAATAATATTTAAAATTATTTTTAATAAAATTTACTTAATATAATAAATTTATTAATAAAATTTCAAAAAATCTTAATATAGTAACGAATTTTTTGCTAAATATATAACTTTTTTTGATATAATATAAAGAGATTTATTGTATAATTTTATAATTTTGTTAGCTATTATATATAATAAAAATTTTTTATTAGTAAAATATTATTTAAAAAATTTTAGCAAACAAATTTGCTTGTTATACAAATTAAGAAATTTTTTTTAAGATAAAATTTTTTTCATTTAGCTCTTATAAATAAGTCATTTCTTTGAAATATATATTATATATTCTTTATTAAAAAATTAATTTTTAACTTATTTTTAAATTTATCTTTTCTAATGCTATAATTTTCTGAATCAAGTATTTTTCTTATGAAATTTGAAATAAAAATTTGATTAATATTGTTATAATTTGATATTTTTTTATATTTAATTTTATATATTTTTATATTTTATTATATTAATATTTAAAATAATCTTATTGGATAATTATATTTGTAATTAGAATTTAAAATTTTATTCAAATTTCAATTTGAATTTTAATTTTAATTTCAGTTTGAATTTTTATTTAAATTTGATTTGAATTTCAGTTCAAATTTCAGTTCAAATTTTAATTCAAAATTTAATTCAATCTATAATTTTATTGAAAGTTTAATTTTTATAATTTATTTATAAATATAATATATATTTAAGTTTAACAAGAAGTAGAAAAATTGAATTTATTTTTTATTATATATTTCTCTTAACTCTTAATTAGTTTTAATAATTTTTTGTCTTAATTGCAAAGTTATTATTATTTAATTTATAACTTCTTGTCTAGTTGATCTCTTATCTATATTATAAAATCAATATTATATAATTAAATTAATAAAAGAAATCATATTTTACTTGTTTTATAAATTATTTTTGAAAAAATATAATTATTTCTGATTTTATTTTAGCTAATTAACAAATAAGCATATATTATTTACCTTTAAATATTCATATTCTCTCTTCTATTTGAAGTTATTTTTCATAAACTCTTCTATTTGATTTAATATTATATATTTTTCTATAATAAAGCTCAAAATTACATAAAATAAAAATAATATATATTTGTTGTGTATTATAAAAATATATTTTATTTATAATATATTCATTATCATATTTAGTTATATTAAATAGAATGCTCAAAAAATTAAAAAAATTCATTTTACTTTAATATTATAATAATATTTTTATATACTATTTGTTATATATAGCCACATAATTTGAAATTAGGATCAGCAAGTCATCCAGATGAATTCTAGACTTGTGAGAAAAAAAACATGAAAATTTGAATATTAATTACTTTTACAAGAAATATTTCAAAAATGTCTAACATTAATTATATATGAGTCAAATATATTTAAGATTATATCTTTCATATTTTTATATGTCACATTATTTGTAATATGATGTTACAATTTGAATTTATTCAGATTATATAGAAATTAATGTTAAAGATTTTAAATTAGAAATTACATCATAATTTATTTTAATTCCTTAAATTAATAGTAATTATTAATTAATCTAGATTTGATATTAATTAATTTAATATACATTGATATATGAATAAATAACACTTCTTTTATAATATTTAGATCTTTCTTTGTGATCTAGATAATTATCAATTTTACTCTGTGTTTTATCTATTATTAATATTGATTACAAATATTTTAGATTATTAATAATTACTAGAATGTTCTATTAATAATATAATTTCTTATATATATATGCTGTTATGCTCTTGATAATAATACAATTAATTATAATAAAGAAGTATTTAATAATAAATATAAACTATTCTTTTATTGGTTATGTAGAAAATTCTTATGTAACAATGCTGATTTTAAAAAACTATATAATAATATTCTATATTTCATTTTTTGTTTTTATATAGCTTTTAATTTTTGTGACTCTTAATCAAAACAAAGCTTTCTAATTGATTGAGATCTGGTGCTATTGAGCAGAATATAAAGGATATATTCAAATCTACTCTTGACCATATAGGTCTCATGATTCTATATTTATATTACTTCATAATATTCTATATAATGACAAAATCTTTCATGAAGAATCTGAAATTCATACTAGAGCATTTAACTGGTTTGAAGAAAAAAACTCATTGTCTTTTTTCAAACAGTCAAGACCATTTGCAATGTTTAAAACAACTTTATTTATCTGCTTTTTTTTTTGGATCAAAAGCAATTATTAATAATTACAATACTGAATGAAACATTCAAGAATCATCTCCCCACCAGTAAAGCAGATATTCTTTCACTGATGAGAAACAAGGAAAACAAATCCTGTTGAGCTTTTCAAAAATTTCAAGAAAAATGTTAGGAACAAAATAGCACATGGTATTTTAATGAATCAAAGAGTTGCTGGAGTGACCATGCACTCCAAAATATTACTATTTTTGCGTGTGATGTCGCTATCTGTCTAGGTAAATAATTTATAACAACATAACTTCGTATAAGAGTATGAACTGACTGATTTTTTCTTTTGATGTCAGGTGACAACTATAAAGAAGTATATGTCATCAAAGAAAAACTTGATAGTAAAATTATTCAAAGATGGACGGACAAAACAATAGAGGTCGAATATGAGAATCAGTTCCGACCACCAAAAAGAAAGTATGATGACACGAATTTCTGTGAAATGACAAAATTCGTTCTGGATATTCTAAGAGATTGATGAAACAAAAGAGGGATCTAAGCAAAAGATAATAAAATTGGCATTAAGGGAGGATGAAGATATAGCACAGATATGGAGGGCTGTTAAAATGAGGTGCAAAAAGGAGCAGCGAATTCATTGAGTTTGTGAGTATCAGATTTAGTCTTTCTTGCACGATGAATCCTTATGTAAATCAATTACTTATGTGACTGGGTATCTCGAGAAACGATACAGAGATGCATATATTAGAAGTGTAGGATCACATGACTGAAATTTCTGTCCGAATTTTCTGATATATATATTAATTTTTTGGTCAAGTTTTGTATTATAGAATTGACAAGATCTTGCAATGTTGCCATCTTTAGCCCATTTAATAAATGCGTGATATTATCAATGTGGCTATCTGAATTCCAAAGTGGTAATAGTAATTGATTGATGATTGTGTATTTTGAACTATGAGTTTTTACGCACACTAGCAGGTTAAACACAGCACCACAATAAAGCTCTTTGATGCATGAAGAACATCTCAAAATTGCTCCTCTTCATACATTTTCACTGATGCTAATCTCTTGTTCGTTTACAAATAAGCTGTAAATGAGCTAGACGAGCTTTTGTAAAGATTCCAATTTATTAATACATGTATAAAGCATAGTGGGCTTTCTCTGTGATTGGCTATTTTTTTGCAGATTATTTTGTATCAATTTTGTTCAATCAGAGACAGTGTAGATTATTTTGAATCTTATTGGACAATGAGTTGCTTACATTTACTAAGCCGCCAAATGAAGCATGGAAAATCTGATATCAATATAATCATAGATCACGAAAAAAGCAATCAAAATGGATTTCTCGCAGATAATTGCATTAGTGTATGTGCATTTATGCTTAAGAATTATTTAATAAAACACTTGTCTTTAAATTTTAAAAGAAAAA